CAGTAAGAGTCCCTAAGGCACCTCATGAACGTATTATTATTTTGACTGCTCTTCTGAAGACCTCCAAATAATGCTATATATAAAACACTAAATGCACATTTAGTGATATGAAGATTAAGCGCGCAAAAGATCAAATCAAAACAGATTACAAACAACAAAGGAGCTGGTTTGATGCATTACAGGTAGTCCTTGACTTAACCACCAATTGTTTAGCAACTGTTCAATGTTACGAGTGCTGAAAAAAGTGACTTACAACCAGTCCTCACACTTATGGCCACTGCAGTGTACCAAAAATCGCATGATTGCGATTTGGGCATTTGTCAACCGGCATGTATTTACAATGGTTGCAGTGGTCTGGAGTCAAGTGATGATAATTTGTGACTTTCCCAGCTGACTTACAACAAGCGAAGTCAATAGGAAAGTCGGCAGGGAAAGTTGCAAATTGCGATCACGTGATAGCTTGCTTAACAACCGTGGCAAAAAAAAATAATAGAAAAATTGGGTGCAGTCAGTATTCACTTAAGAACCATACGATTTAACGAGAAATTTCCTAGTCTCAATTGTGGTCATAAATTGAGGACTACCTGCGTAATATGATGGAAATTTTTAACAGATAGGAGAACATGTGGAGTAAGTTGACTCATTTTCCTGCCTGTTCTTTTCAAAACTGAAATAAGCTTTCATCAACCTGGAGCCCTCCTCCCCAGGTAGAATAGGAGGATATCTCAAATGTCTGTCAATTGTGTTTCCAAAACAACAGTAAGGAAAGATATTTTAGAATTTGTTGGTATGCGTGCATATTGCAACTGGAGACAGGAGCTAAATGCCACCCACACACAGACTGTTTTGCATTATATTGCCTGGAATATATTTCATTTGTAGTCTGGAAGATGAACAAAAAACAAGAGGAAGGACAAAGGATTGTAAATTGTGCAATTAAGGAAATATACGTAGTGTATACCTGTACCTTAGCATAGCACTGTAAAGATAGCCTGGATCTATAGCATTCTACAAAAGAGAAGAGATAAACTGTAACATAGTGTTTTTCTTAATTTAATTTCTTAAATTAAAATATGACCTCTGTTATGCTATCTGGGCCAACAGGTTTTGGTACTGAAGTCAATTCATTAATCAAATAATTTAGTCTTTAATTTTCCCTCAATGTTTATATCAAAGTAAACCATTGGTATCGAGAAAGTTTTCTCAAGCCATTTACTTGTTTTACTATTACCTTTTACTTGAACAAAGAGTGGTTCAAGTAAGTTAAAGTTCATGGAACTGGATAGCAGTTCTCTGATTTGTCTAACTGGGCATTGCCTTACACGTACAGTATATAAAATAAATTCTAGTAAATAGTTGTCTGTACAAACCCCCAAGCAAGTATATCAGTTTTCAAGTCTGGATGTATAATTCTTTGGATGTACTTCATTGCAAGAGCCAAATTCCTAATCATAATAGCTGAGAACCATAAGAGTTGTTGTCCTAAGAGATTTAATTGTAGAGTATTACATGAAAATAGCTGAAAGAAATCTACAGGTCAGCCCACTGATGTACTAAGGCAGGGGTGTCAAACTGCCGGCCCATGGGCTGGTTTCATTATACCAAAGCTGCGCCCACCCCATTGCCGGCAACGCAAAAAGAGTCGCGATACGTTGTGACATGGCGAATTTGACACCCGTGTACTAAGGGGTCCACTGACATTGGGATGATTGTTGAAAATATCTGTTCCATACTTTTAAAACCATAGAAATAGTATGGATCACTGCATATTGTCCATATTAAGAATACAAAATGATAACTTTTAGATTGGAGCAGATAACTAAGATTGCTGCAATGTTATATCTGCAACTCTAAAAGTGAGTGCAAGACATTCCCAGTTCTTCAGGTCAGATTATTTACACTATGTGCATGCAGGAGCTGTGTCTTTGCACAAAGTTGGTTTTTGGCCACAAGTTCATCATTCCAAGAATCATTTTAGAGTAGCTAGCTTAGAGCAGAATGTGAATCATGCCAAGAAAGGCTATTGTGACAGCAGTTTGCATTCATAGGTTAAGAGTCCCTTTGCTACGAGAGGCTCAGCAATCAGCAGAGTGGAAATAAATATAGGCTTGCTACAAAAGAAGTAGCCCTATTCAATGGCCCTTATGTAGTTGTTTGTGTGTGTGTATAGACAGAGGTGGCATGAACAAGCCCTTCCTTCCTTCCCCATTCTCACTACCTTCTATATGGGAAGGACAGCTGTAGAGCAAGACTCTTCCGTGGGTTACAGAATCTTTGAACAATTGACTTCAGTGTGGAGGAAGCAACAAGAGCATGAAGGAAGTGTAGAACTAGCTAGCCCCTATTCCTCTTTTTTCTCACACACAGAGCTCAGACAAAAGAACTATGAGCCAATGCCTCTTAATGGGCTTTCATATCCCTTGTCTACTTTTCTGTTAATATTCCCATCTGCAATTAATTTTATCTTTTGTATCAAAATGGGGGTAAGTAGCCCGCTCGAGTCTAATGTTCTTAAAAATGCTCACTGAAATATCTTTATTTTATATTTATAGCTTGTAGATTTCAAAACTGAACAGGCCTTAATAAACTCTTAACCCATTTTAAAATTTAAATCATTTTCAATATGCTTTAATAATGAATTTGCAGCTACAGGACACATTCATAATAGTAAAAATGGAGTCCTGCTGAACCTCAACCCATCCATTCCTTCTGTGCCAGCAACCCCTTCCTCTTGCCATGGTTGAGCAGCAAAAGCAAAAGAGGAAAACTCCTCCATAGAGCTACATATAAAAATTCTCTTTTTATAATTCCACCTATGTTAAGCAGCAAATATTTCCTGTCTTGCCCAATAAAGATAGCTTGGACTGGATTTCACTTCAAGAGAAAAAAGTGGTCAAAATAATGCCACGCCTAATTAAGGAACTCAATTGATTGCATATCCATTGGAATTTAAAGCAGCATTCATTTGCAATGTATTCATTTTTATTACACTGACATTTTGTGAGTTAATCAGTGAAACCAATCAAAACTATTTTATTGGCTAAAAAGGTACCCTGCATAATTGACCAACTTTTTAATTTTAACTTTTGTGTGTGTGTATATATATATATATAAATTAGGAAGCAGGCACTATCTTAGAAGAAGCATTTATTTTTTTCACATTCTGAAGCTTTCTTCTCTAGGAAATGCTATGATGTTTAATTTTTTTGAAAATAACAAATATGCTTTTTCTCTGTAAAGCTATTTTGTTTTATTCAGATTCCATTTCAGTTGATCAATTAGCTGGCTTGTTTAAGTCCCTGACTGATAGGCTGAGTTCTTACATACAAGTGGAATAGTGTCTTTATTTTGTTCTGAATGGATCTGGCTAGCTACTTCTGATTTCACCCATCACAAACAGATTTGGAGTATAGTTTTAAGGCTTAAATTCAGTTAGTGCTGCATAAATGGGGAGTTTTGCTGCCATGTTTCAGCTGTGTAATACTAACTAGGGAATTCCACATTTGGCAATGCTCCCAGAATTTTCATCCTTACATTTTTCAGATATTGACTAAACACACAGGAATATTGGGATATTAACTGCATCCACCTTATCTACCCAACTTGGAATTCCAAGTGCCTGTATAATACACAAGCAGCAAAAATACTTCAGAATTAATGTCAATTAATTTCATTTGAGAACAGCACCGAGAGGTAGGAAGAGTTAAAAAAGAGAGATCAACTGTTTTACGATGGCTGGATCTAGTTCCAACCATAGGAGCATTCTCTGAACTAACTTCTGCTCAGATTTCTCTTGCTGGTATAATGGGGCATTTCAATATAGAACCCAGTTCCATTCCCCTAATATTGTGGACCATAAGCAGCTTCAGAAGACTATAGGAAAAGGGGTGAATTGGGAAAGACCAGCAGTTCTTCCATTCTTCTCCTGGATCAGAAGTCGCCAGTGATGGAGAATCTTCTATCCACAGAAGAAAGATGCTTAGATCTAATTCAATATGCTTTCTAGCATGATAGCAGAACTTTACCTTGCAAATATTCATTGCTATTGCAATGAAAGGTCATTGCATGAAGCAGTCATTATGATTTGTGCCCCTGCCCTTCCCTTTGATTTATGGTTTCCTTTAATGTTTCATTCAGTTGTGCTTCAATATCAAATCTGTTACCCAGCTATCCTAGGACTGAAAGAATACAGTTGGAAAAGGAGAGAGAAAAGCTTAAAAAAAATAGCAAATTAACTGGAAAATAAGAATACATCAACTGCTCTGACCACAGATGCACCACATATTTCTTACCTGATTTTGATCAAGCATCATATGGAATAGCCACCAGCTAGTTACACTTTAATGCACAGAAGTTTTAAAACTGTACAATTGTTCATATTCCTAACAAATGTTTGATGGCTATTACCATTTTTTTAAAACCATTTTCGGTAAAAAGCATGTCAAGCCTTGCAAAGGATTCTGTGCTCCATTTGGATGTCTTTCGGTTATACCAAAAACTTGTGCTCATTGAAGATCATCCTTTTCTTCTTCTAATGCAGCATTTTCCTCTTTCAGGTGTGGCCCATTTCCTGTTCACTTGGAGCCACCTTTGGGTATGTGGCCGGTCTCTTTATTGCATCTTTGTGGATATATTGGAATAGGAAGCAGCTTACATACAAAAGCAGATAACTGGCGCAAGGAGGAAAGGCATCTTGATTGTGAGATTCCATGAAGATTGCGCAGGGGTATGGCCAAAGCAAAAGGCTTTCCATATCTTTTCAGAGCATTGTTAGGCTTTACTCTTCTTTTTTACAGCATGGTCAACATGCACTGGCAATTTGATCATACATTTGCTGTATGTCCTAAACTACATGACCCCTGAGAGATTGTACATTCCTTCCCATATGAATAAAATCTTCACAGTAGATGGTGCCTGCTTCTTTACGTATTTGTGATTTTCTCCCTCCCCCTCTGGGTTTCACAAAATGCCAGTTCCTAAAATCCGCTTCCCTGTCAGTCAGTGGATTTCTCAATAAGCTGTTGCTGTCTTGAAGTGTACATTTGCACAGTGTCAGAAGTTTCACAGTACTCGTGGCCATTGTCCAGCAGCTCTCATGTAATCAAGCAGCAATTAATGCATCTTGAGCCTATTCTCTTTTTCATTGTGTGTTTCTTTGGAGTTAGAATGGCTATAATGGCTTCATCAAAAACAGTCTTCAATCCTTTCTGCGTTAAAGCTGAGCATTCCACATAGCAATAGGCTCCTATCTGTCAAGAAAACAAATGCATTTAATAGCTACATAGACAGTGGGCATCTTCCCCAAACTCTATTAGTGAACTCGGGGGGCTTTCATTTTTATTGAAACATCAATGTTTGTTTTTTGATTTGTCTTTGCCCTGAGAAAAACATTTCACCACTCTACTTTCCAGAAAAAGAGGTTTGTCTTTTGGTGACAGATTTAGAATTCTTTTCATTACATTCAGGGTTTGAAAAAAACAAACAAACATTAAATACACTGGAGTTTTCAGTTTGTTTTACTTTTGGCAGTATATTTGTATCTGAGTCATTTTAGGAAAGTTTAAAGAGCAAATGAAGTGTACCAATATTTAATGCACACACAGAGATTACCATCAAACATAAAAAAAATATCACACCTGATATAAATATTATACTTTGGAGACTTAAAAATTCAGGTGATTATTTTAATTTTCTCAAACGTATTCTCACTGTGTTCCATTGCCTTGTATTGAAGTAAGTTATCTTTTAATTACTGAAAAGTACTAAATGAACTCTTACTTATAATATCTAATTCTATATTTTATTCACAAACAAAACAGCTGCATTAACCGGTAAGATTATGTACTGCTTAATTCTCACATAGCTGCCTTTAAATGTAGTATAAAAATCTGCATTCTTGCTGCTCCTTCTCACTGAAAAAGACAAAAAGTGGCACTAGTCCATTTGGAAAACAGAAATGCTAATAGTTTATTCCCTGAGATTGTGGGCACAGCTAGAATTTTGGGAGCACATCCTGCCCATGCCAAACAATATTGACAGCTGGCCATGCAGGAAGTCTGGAAAGAAGTCACATATGGAGGAAAATGCAGTATTAAATTTTAGGGATAATTTCATGTAAGAAAGGTGAAAGAAGAACCCATGTGCAGAAAAATGTCAGTGTTTGTAATTTACGCAAATGGAAATCCTCCACATCAGCTTCCTTATGGCCCTTGTTCACAGTTAATGTGATGTATAACGTAACAAATCATCAGGAGGTCATTAGGTTAGAACTGTTGTTATATAATCTGGAAATAATTGAACTAAAGGGCAATTGTCCCTCCCCCCCACTTTTGACTCTTTTTTTTACATGAAAATGCTATGCTAAGGTCTACTGATTTTATATTTTTATTTACTTGTTATCCTATATCCAAGGACTCAAAGGGATTTACATAGAAATACACTTCCATGTTGCCATGAACAGCAACTTCTAAAACACAGATAGTCCTTGCGTTATGACGGCATTCCTGGTAGCCATTGCAACCTCAGGATGTTTGGATTTTTAAATGGGGGGGGAGGGACTGTGCTACATAGTGGGTCAGGTGAGGAGTGCTAGGTAGGGTGTGCACTATGTAGCGGGCAGGAGCTATGACGTGCAGATGTGCTACAGAGTACAAATACTCTTGTACTCTTCAATGGGCTCCTCAGGAGAAAAAGCTGCAGGACTAACTTACAGGGGTGACATGCAACCTTCCCTAGTGGCTTCCACATTGACTTTGCTTGTGGGAAGATGGCAGGAGGTTGCCAATTGCAATCATGTGACGTGGCACACTGTGACACTGTAACTGTAGCTGGGCACCTGAGCCTCTGGATTACACTCACAGGACCACAGGAACTGTTGGAACTTCGAGGACTGGTCATAAGCCCATTTCTTCAGCACCGCCGTAACTCTGAGCAGTTGCTGAATGAATAGACTTAAATCAAGGATTACCTGTAGGTTGGGCTGATCCTTTTGTCTGGCTGCTGCAAGTCTTTTCATACAGAAAGGTAAAATAAAGGTAGGGGAAATGCAGCACACATAATACCAAGCAAGATTTGAATTCTAAATCTCCAGCTTACCTCTTTTGCTAATTTAACACCTTGCTCCATAGATATTGGTTTTTCTTTCATGTCATTTAGCCTTGCTAATGTTTTAGGATCGTCACGAAGATCAATCTGTTAGGAAAGTTACAGAAGATATGTAGTCCTTCTACATGTTACGAATCAAACTTTACATCACAGACTTTATTAAAAAAAAGAAAATAGAAGTGGCTCCAATACAAGGTAACAATGCTGATATCTCACTGAACACTTTAGGATTCAAATTAGGCATGATTAATATTGAACGTGGTGAGATTTAACCACAGCTAACTCAGGCTAATTCAATCTATAACCTCTGCTTTAACTGGAATCTTAAGCCTATTTCCGTAAGGTACATTGTGGTTCAAATGAACTGTGTGCAAATTAAAAGGCCCTATGACATTTCCAGAGAAAACCCTCAAAAGGCATTTCCCCAAAATTTTAGCTCTGCATACAAGAAGCGAAGAGCACACAATAAGTCAATAATTTGAATATGAGAGGCAGGGATTGTTTTATCTTTCTACTTATTTTCTTTCTTCTGCTTATTCTGAGACTAGAAATCAATTAAGAAAAAGTTTGGAGGAAATTTGCAGAAGAAAATTGGTAGCTGGAAGGAAGAAAGGCTGAATGTTCCCCAACCCATTTGCAGCTATACATATTTGTTCATTGATTTATTTCACTTAGGCACCACCAACTGCAGAAAACATAACAGATATACAAATTACATTTTTTTTTAAAAAAGTAAACAAGATGGCAAATCCAGCCAAAGGCCCAAAACATATATCATGCACCCAGCAAGAGGCTTCATCCATCTTTGTTAGGGGTTTTATATGGGGTATTTTAGTGCAGGCTTTTTATTCAATATTTATTGTGATTTTTATTATTGCCTGTTCACCGCCCTGAGTCCCGTAAGGGAGATAGGGCGGTATATAAATTTAAATAATAAATAAATAAATAAATAAGCCAGAATCTGAGAAAAAAGTCAGGTTTTCAAGGTCTGTAGAACATTATCTGAGTGGGAGCTTGAAAGTGTCTCTGCATGACTACTGGTAAACTGATAATTGCGAAACAAGTTATTTCATAGATACAACTACTCTTTGCAGCTTCAGAATAAATTCTGGACCTTTGTGGTTTCATAGATTCAGGTGTTGAGAGTCAAGCAAATTTATTTCAGGCTCAACTGCCATACTCGAAGCCATAATAAAACTTGCCTTTTAGAAGTGCTGCAGCTCTATGGAGCTAGCTTGTTTCTATATTTGTGAGTTCCCTATTGCTGATTCAAGCAGGTCTTTCAAGGTAAGAGTGAGCTGATGGATTTGCAGCCAACTCATTCATAGAAATCATTTAGATATATTGCATAGGGACAAACTGATAGGTGGGGGTGGGGAATACAAGCCATTTTTAAATTTCCTTAGTGCAGAAAATGAATTCAGGGATTTCCAGCTTTCTAGCATCAGTGGCAGGACAGTAAATACATGAAAATATTTGCTCACTGTTTTTAATGCATGAAGTCTACCTGATTTTCAGGGATTAGGGAATAGGATTATCAATGATATGTCCTCAGCGTGTAGCTCTATCTTGAATATCAGAATTAATTTCATGGTTAACTTTTCAACATGAAAAAAAGGGAAACGGTAAGATGCATAAATTGTGAATAAAAACTGGGGGGGGGGGAAAGCAGGGTTTGATTTTGCAGTAATATATACTTGAAACCATATATGGAGTGGTTGAAAAGGAAAATTAGTACTTTCTTACTAACAGGATACCCCCACATTTCTATTTGGAAAACCAGTGGTGGGCACTGAGCCCACAGACTGCCACAGTCACATGGGTAAAAATGGGTGAACCAATTATTCTCACCCAGAGGGTACATAGAGATGTGTATCTATATATTTATCAGCAAAGGAGACTCGTTGGTGACCACAAGACTCTTCTTTCCATCCAGCTACAGCATGTGATACCCACGCTTGTCTGAATCAGCTGTTTGGGTCCTATAACTGCTGCTTTATTGTTTATGAGCAAAGATCCTTTTTGTTCATAAGCACATCAAACACAGAGCTTTGTTTTCAATTTCCATTCCATAGTTAATCTTTCAAGGCCTGTTTACAACTAATGGTGTTAATCACAGAAGGACTAGAGGGCTCCAGTTGTCCCTTCTGGCTCTAAAATTAGATTGCTTTGGATGCATTTCTTGTTATTTTAGTTGCAAACTAGAAGTGTAAGCCTACATGCTTGGAAAGAGCAAGGGGTGAGGAAACTGTTGCTTGATCTAGAAAGAGGGAGAAGCTACATTTATCTGACAAAGAGGAAATTATAGGTATTTAGACTTCATTTGAATTATAAGTGGTTAAGCCAAAGATTTTATGGGAAAAGATGAATTTGAAAAGAATTTTCAGGGAAAAATAAAAAAATGGCACTATTCTGAGAAGGGCATCATGACACAGGAAACAATTAGAATGGGCACAGCCCTTGAAGAACTTAGGAATCTGTTTAATAGCTGATAGTAATAGAGTTAGAGAAGTAAAGATCACAGGAAGGAATTTCAGTAATCTTTAAAGGTTCTAATAACATTTCAAAGGCAAAAACGAGCAGTGCATGTGCTTTTTGTAAAAGGAGAAAATATCTTGCTATTTTGGATGGATGGATGGACAGATAGGTAGGTAGGTATAGCTAGAGATAGACAGACAGACAGTTTGAGCCACATACCTGGGTTCCAACCAATAAATAAGGTACGTTTGGTGCATATTCTTTAAGTTCTGGTACCCATTCCTCCTTCACATTCTGAAAAGAAGCCGGATTTACCACAGAGAAACAGATGAGGAAAACATCAGTCATGGGGTATGACAGCGGTCTGAGGCGATCATAGTCTTCCTGAAGACAGACAGACAGACAGACACACATATATATATTACTTTTCACTAAAAATGTGAATTTTGATCACAGTCATTTCTAATGGATACAGATGCTGGTGTTTCTAAGCAATCACTACTTCAGTATTTCATGCTAAATAAACTGAAAATTAAAAGCTTTTTCCAGTGAATTGCAGATTATCCTTTCCTCCTACTTTTGGTCCATTTGGGTGGTAGTACTATTATAGAAATCAGACAGTTACCTTCCCAGTCGGCTTCTACAATATATGGAATAATTGATATATTTTCAAGACATTAAGCCAAGCTGTGGATGTTGCTTGATTTTAATATTTTTGTGGAGTGTCTAAAAAAACAAACCCTGAATTGAACTACTTGTTTATTTGGTGAGGGACTCACCAAAATCATTTAAAAGCATTTTTTCTGAATCGGATCAAACATTTAGGAATACGTTATCCATAAAGGCCAATCAGATGCCAATAGAAAGTCCACCTGCAGGGCTCAATTTGATATCCAGGACTTGTTGCCTCTGATCCTGGAAATAGCCTAAAACAGCTGTCACAACCATTAGCTGTACTTTATCTAAGTCTTCTTTGAAGTAGTTCACGTTAGCAACCACAACATCTTGTGATAATTGTTTGAATTTCTGATATCATATATCTGTCATATCATATATCTGTCTTGACTGTTTCATTATGCAGCTTCCTTGCAAGGGATTGGATATTCTTATTATATGGCATAAAAACTAATCCCTGTCCACTTTTTCAGCTCCATTCATAATCTTATACATCTCAAATACTGTAGCCTTTGCTCATTGGCTTCACTTCTTTCACATGTTGCTTCTATTACAATAGAAGTAATACAAATATGTTGAAAGATTTATTACTACTTCCTTCCATAAGGATGGAATTTCCTTTTTTCACAGCAGCTGGATGTTAACCTCTCTACTGTGCTGTCCTTGGTGCTGTCTGAGCTTGGTTTCATTACCCAACTAGGTAATATCATCAGTGTGATATTAGTTGGTAATGAAATGGCTTTAATCAAACAGCCAAGCTCAGAAGCACCAAGAACAGCACAGTTCAACCCTGCATATATTCTCTTCTATTGGAACATCTCAGTGATAACTGCAGGTTCTCTTCCCTGTTTGGGAAGCAGTAGTAGTTCTGACTCTAGTAGCATATATGTCAAGTTAAGATTTTTTGTCTTAATATGTATCACTTGCTCACACTGATATTTGTCATTTTAAAGCCCAATATGCAGAGATCCTTTGAGAACCATTCAGTGTCCCTTTTTTGTTAATTACTCAAAATAATATGAGGTTATCCATTATTTGTACAGCCTGACTGTTCAGTCCTAATTCTAGATTATTCTTCATTGCATCAAAACTAGTGTCCTGCTAACAGATTCTTGGGGAATGTCACTGTTTACAAACCTATATTTAAGAATACCTACTTTTTTGAGTATTTCTCAAATGAAGTAGTACTATGAAATGGATAGCACACTGCCATAACTATGTATTTTACCTTACTAATTAATAAGGCAGAGAGAAAGTCCCTGCTTCCAGTCTTTGAAACGTACTTCTAGAGCTAAGATTGCCAATGCATCATAATGAATCTCAGTTTTGGATGTCCTAGCCTAAAAGAAATAAAATTAGTAAGAGTAATGAGACCTGTGATTATGTATAGCAAGAATGGAATATGTTTTAAAGAAAAACTTTATGTGGTTTTTCATGTTAGTTTTGTTTTAAAAAAAGTCACAGAGAATAAAAATATGTAAAATCTGTAGCTGATAAGAATGTATTCTTCATTTCTCTTAAAATACAGTACTTTCAAGATTATCCAATGAAACAATTAACTAAAACAGATTTCAAACAAAGCAAAAATTCATACAATGCAATCAGCCTATAAACTTTACTGTTACTGGGTGTGCTGAAAGCTAGTAGCATTTTAAACATTCATTATATCATTTCATGGAGACTACTAGCCACGAACATCAAAAAACACAACTTTCATGTACAAAAGACAGTTAACCTCTGATGTGAAAAGCAAGCCACCTGGAACATTGTAATCTTTATGGTCCTAAGACTAGCTTTCTGTATTCGCGTCGTCATATCCAGTAAACACGATCTTTTCTGGATGGAAACCACAGCAAAATCTGAAAGTAACTCCATAATTGCAAATTAAATCTGTTTTCAGAGTGTACTGTCTTCACACTGTTGTTAGATTGAAGATAAAGTCATGTTTAAGGAACTAAAGTCTTGTAAGAAGGACCTCACTTCTCAAAGCTGCCTTCTGTTATTGTTATGACCCAGATAGGCAAGACTAGGTAGGCCTCCAGAGATTTCTTTATTGCTCTTGGTAAGGGTTAACAAATGACCCTCCACTGACCTGGCAGGCTCTACTCCCAGCCGCCCCAAACAACAGCCCTTAATTATTTGGGAAGTCCACAAGGCAAAAGTCCGGACAGAAAGCCAGGGCAGTTTTCAGAGCCAGGGAAAGGTCCCAGGCAAGGAGAACTTCTCAAAACAAGACAGGGTCCAAGGCAAGGCAGGTCTAAAGGGAGAATCTTCAGGGCTAGGGCAAGCCAAAAACAGTCCTCACAGCAAGGCAAAATCAGTCTTTGACTCACAGAGCAAACACAGTTCTTGAAGCAAAGCAAAAAGCAGTCTTTGATGCAGACAAAAACCGTTCTTAAAGCAAGGCGAAAGCAGGGGGACTGTAATCCTGGCAAGTGTTCCTCACGGTGTCTCCTTAAATATTACTCTCCAGGTGAACCTCATGAGGAGGGGCGGGTCGTCCTGCGCTGACTCTGCTTTCTTTCCATTCTTGGCACTCGGGGACCGGGCGGGGAAGGCATTTGCTCTTCTCTACGGCTCTGGAGCTCTTCTGCTCTTCCTTGACCAGCCTGAGCCCTCTCTTCCTCCCTGCCTACTCTTTCTGGGCCTGATGGGCCCAGGACTGCCTTGTGCTAATTCTCAGGTTTTTCCTCCTGAGCCATAGAGACTGCACCATCCCCCTGCGCCAGCCCTTCCTTCTCCACCTCCTCCTCCTCCTCGGGCTCCGATGGGGCCCTGACAGTTATGTATTGGAATTCAATTCCAATAATACACAGAGCATGAGAAGTTATTCAAGCTTCTAGTTCAAGAATATGCTCAAGTCCAACTGTGAGAAAACCTAGATGTTGTCTCACCAATCCTGACCAGTGATTAAATATACTGATAAAAGTAAAATATCTACAACATACGGGTTCCAAGAGTATGTATATATTGTCAAATATATGCTTGTCAGTATATAATGCCAAATTCCTCTGCTGATAAAACACACATGCAAGTTGTTGGGGAAATATGAATACTAGCTTTTACCTGGGTAAAAGCTGCATCCATTTTTATCACTGCAGCTACACGGTCTTTCAAGTATGATCCCCTAGAATATTATACTCATTCAGAAACTACAATCAATAACTGAGAGCCAAAGAAGCCTACAGAAACGATGACAAACTGCTTGGTGAATTTCAATCTATACCCCTGTTCTTTCTCAGGGAAAAAATTAAAACTGTGGCCCAATATAGGGAAGTTGTTTTAAAAATCAAAAGGGTTAAATAGTTGTCTCATCAGTCACAATTCTGGAAATCAGTGTGTAGCCTGATTTGTACTGAATTTTCTCAATGCCGCTAGATATCTAAAAAACATAATTCTATGGAACAATTTATTAATTCTGTGGAGGAAATATGGTAATCCTAAACTGGCAAAGGACTCTGATAAAGCACATGCTTTGAAGTAGAAAGTTCCATTCCAATCCACAGTATTATCAACATTTTTTAAAAATCACAAGATATGAAAAAACATCATTGCTTAACTCCCTCTAGTCCACGGGTGTCAAACTCGCCGTGTCACGTGACGTGTCGCGATGTATCACAACTTTTTTTGCATTGCTGGAGCTGGGGTGAGCGCGGCCTCCACATGATGCAACTGGCCCGTGGGCCGGCAGTTTGACACTCCTGCCTTAGTCCAATCACTACAACCCAAGTCCAACATCACATTGCAGTACCAAGCTGGGATGTTTGAAGACAAAGTATTTACAGTTCATTCATCCTGTATCAAACCCAAAATGATGGTGTTTCTCTGTTGGAAACCCATAGTCCCCCATATTTAATTCATCCGTTTTTCCAAAATAAATTCATAAGAGAAAAATGATAAACTACTCAATTCTGTTCTTCTAAGTAGAACTAGAAATATTCCATAGGGAAGCACCTGTGGAATAGATCAACTCAAGTATATGTCATCTCCTCCTCCTCCTGTCTTTCTGAGGAAAATTACCTAGAATATATCGGACCATCCTTAATTGGTGCAGGAGAAGGAAAAACCTGGGGAATTGGGGAAAGGGATGAAGTGCACTCCAGGCCACACTGGAGATATGTGGGATAGGTATCTTTCAATTTCACTTCATGTGGTCCTGGGATAGTGAAAGAGATGAAATGATAGAAGGTGTTGAAGCCACAGGAACCTTGGGGGGGGGAGTGATCATGCAATATTGGAATTCAACATTATGCAAGCACAAGCAATAGAACACAGTTAAACTAGAGTCTTGGATTTTAAGAGAGCTAATTTCAATAAACTTAGAGAGAGCTTGGGAAGGATTCCATGGATGAGAATCCTCAAGGGGAAAACAACTCAAGAAGCTTGGAAAATTTTTGAAAAGTGAGATTATAAAAGCCCAGTCTAGCACAATACCAATGAACAAGAAAAACAAGAAAAGAAACCAGCATGGCTGCATAAAGAACTCTCTGATAAATTGAAAGAAAAAAAGGACAAGTATAAAAAGTGGAAAGAGGGGCACATAATTAAGGCAGAATATTAGCAAATAGCCCGAGCCTGCAAAGATGAAGTGAAGAAAGCTAAGGCTCAAAATGAACTAAGGTTTGCAACAAAAGTCAAAAATAACAAAAAAAACTTCTTTCAACATGTAAAAAACAAGAAAAAAGTTAAGGAAATGATTGGTCCATTAG